ATCAGGGTTCGAGGCTTTTAGGGTTTAGGGTTTGTTCGAGGGTTTAGGGTTTAGGGTTTGAGGGTTTAGGTTTTAGGGTTTAGGGTTTAGGGTTGAGGATTTCATGTTGCCAGGGTTTCTTGGCTTGGAAGGTTTCCGGATGTTTGGGGTTTAAGGGTTCAGGGCTGATAAGGTTGAGGGGTTTCGGGCTTGAGAGGTTTCAGAACCGACTTCGGAGCCTACGAGTTTAGGGTTTAGGGTTTAGGGTTTAGGGTTTAGGGCTGACTAATTACCAAGATCATCCCGTCGCACTATAATATACCCCGAAACCCTGTTCGGGTTGTTAAAACGCCCTATACAATGGGCTTCAAGCATCGTGGTTGGGTGTTGGCCTCAGGACTTTGAGCTTACATTTCGCATGCAGGACTCGGTTCAGGTTTAACACTAAGGGCCAAGGGTTATGCGGTTTATGCCACAAACAGCTGTCTCTAGGTTCGGGAATTTAGACCCTAAACCCTGATACCTAAATCCTAAACCCAAGTTTCTTTGTTTTCATACTTGTCAGGGCTTCCAGGGCTTACCTTGAAGTTGAGGTGAACCGGAGTAAAGAGATGAACCCTTCACCCCACGTGAACTCCTGAACACAACTGCCTGAAGCTTTAACGCTCCACCGCTGACAAGCTTACAGCAGGTTGGGTTTAGGGTTTAGGGTTTGTCTGGGGTACTTGACGAATACTATGGGGGCCTAAATAGTTACCTTATATTTCTTAGGGTGGGGATTCCTTGTTAGAATAATAGTATAATGGCCCCTAAACCCTAACTATTCTAATTATGAAGGCCCTACGTTACGAGAAGTGGTTTCCGCCTTTGGGCACCAACCGACTAGCGGGTTTCAGGTGTCTTTCAAGGCGGAGGGATCAAGTCAACCCGACAAGCTCCCCTATCCTAAACCCTAAACCCTAAACCCTAAACCCTAAACCCTAAACCCTAAACCCTGAGGTACAACTCCACGGATCCGCCTGCCTTTATCTTCGACATCGAGGCTGCCGATGATCCACGCGGAGGCTCGCTAGGGTTTAGGGTTTAGGGTTTAGGGTTTGAAGGCGGCGTCATCGGGAATTGAGGGTCTCGGTGTTTAGGTTGCAGTCTTTCGGGTCTTGTGGTGTTCCGTTTGGTGTTTAGAGTTTAGAGTTTGGGGCTGAGGGTTTCAGACTGTCTTCCGGTTTCGGGTTTCGGATTGCGTTTGGGGCATCTGGCGCATGGGAGGTGAAGTGTCTTTTGTGTTCTATTTTGTGTGGAGCGCTTCAGGTTTAGAGTTGAGGGGTGTAGGGCCTTGTGCAGAGCCTCGGGTTTTCCATGGTTTAGGTTGGAGGTTTGGGGGGTGTGAGGCTCAGTAAACCAGGGTTTCGGCTTAAGGGCGGCACCGCACCCGTCCCCTGTGCTAGGTGAAAGGAAACGCGAGCGGTAAAGAGCCTTCAAACCCCCAAGCCCTGCAATCATCAACCCCTAAGTCCTAAAACCCTAAACCCTAAACCCTAAACCCTAAACCCTAAACCCTAGACCCAAAACCCAAATCCTAAACCCGACGGAGAACATCCCTCCATGTCGAAAGGCTTCAGACCCCAAGCCCGAAACTCCAAACAGATCCTACAAGGCCCGAGGGTTTAGGGTTTAGGGTTTAGGGTTTAGGGTTTAGGGTTTAGGGGTTTAGGGTTTAGGGTTTAGGGTTTAGGGTTTAGGGGTTTAGGGGTTTAGGGTTTACGGGTTTAGGGTTTGCTAAGGGTCTACGCTTCGTCCCTTCATCGTCCTCACTATACGATGATGGACCCCCGAATCCTGTTCTTATCGTGTTCTGCAGTCTGAAGTCTGAAGCCAATGTAATGTAGGGGCCTCAATATAATTACCTATACTATTTTGGGGTTCCTTATCATAGATTTAGTATAGCATACCCCAAAACCCTGTTCGAATTATATAGGCCCCTATACCACAAACCCTTATACCAGCCGTTATAACCCCTATTAGCCTTTGTCTCGCGCCCATGCTCCCCACTTGTAAGCCAAGCTCCGATGACCACTGTGCCCTAATACCCGCACACCCGGAAGCCCTAGCAAAACCTTACACCCTAAAACCTTAAACCCTAAGCCCTAAAACCCTAAAGCCCTAAACCCTAAAACCCTAAACCCTAAACATCCCAAAACCCTAAAACCCTAAACCCCAAAACCCTAAACCCCAAAACCCTAAACCCTAAACCCTGAAGCTCTAAGCGCTGGAACCCCGAAGCCACCAGAAACCCTAAGACGCTCAGAGCTCAACCACTGTTTGCTGTAATCCACATTGGTGGGGGAAATTGGAGCTGCTATTCCCCTAAACCCTAAACCCTAAACCCTAAACCCTAAACCCTAAACCCTAAACCCTAAACCCCCCCGACCTTTTGGGCCAGGGCTTATCGTTTGCTATTCCGTCGGGGTTTAGGATTTTTAGTGAAACTCAACGTTTAGGGTTTGCCGCTGTGCCATCGTGCGACTGGTGCGTCAAGTTTAAAGGAGTGCGATGAGTATGTTTGTGCCTGTAACGGTCAGCATAAGTCTGTTGACATTGCTCATGTGACTGGCATCTGGTCAGGCACCTTCCTTCACTTCCCTGTCGTTCCGGTCATCAGGCAGGTATCCTAGACCCTAAACCCCAAACCCTAAACCTTTGGCCGGGATGGCGCAAAGACCCCGAATCCCATCCGGCATCCGAAAACCCATAATGTACTATAGTAAAGTATCCACAACATACTATAGCAAAGGAAAACATGCAGCATACTTAGCCATACATTACTATACGATACGATACGATACTATACTAGACTATACTTCAGCATACTATACTATGCCATACTTTACCAAACCAAACCATACCATACTATACCATACTATACTATACTGTACTGAACTAGGCACCGCGTGACCCCGCGCTGCAGCACCCTAGCGGCCCTAGCCCACCCATACAAAGGCGGGTTGTAAACACAGGGACAGGTCAGTTAGCGGTTTAATGATATTGATCTGCCTAATAAACGGGCCCAAATAATTACCAATATTATTTTGGGGGTTCCCGATTATAGCTATAGTATAATATACCGCAAAACCCTATTTTAATCATTAAGGCCCCGAAATTATTTCCTAAAGCCTAAACCCTAAACCCTAAACCCTAAACTATTTCGGTTCAATATTTGGGTATCTTGTCGGCCTGTAGCTCAGAAAACCCCACAAAGGCCGAATTTTCTTCACATCCTGCGCGTTTGATCTCCGTATTTTGGGGCCTTCCAGGGGTTCCTTTAAGGGTTTAGGGAGTTTAGAGTTAAGGGTTTAGGGTTTAGGGTTTAGGGTATTTTGGGGCCTTATAGGGGTTCCTTTAAGGGTTTCTTGAAGGGTTCCTTTAAAGGGTTTTAAGGGATCCTGGCAGCCTTGGTATGACCCTGCTTGGCGCCCAACACCTTGCAGAACACCAGACGAAGACTTCGGTTAGGCTTTGCTTTCGGATTGTGGGCTCCCAGAGAGTTCGCCGTCGGATGTTCAGAGTTTAGGGTTAAGGGTTAGAGGTTTAGGGTTAGGGTTTGGGGTTCAGAGGTTTTCGTACTGAGGGGCTTCATCACATGCTGACCTTCTGCCCTGTTTGCTGCTCGTGACCGTAGCCCTAAAGCCTAAGCCCTAAGCCTAAAGCCCCTGAGCCCTCGCATGACCCAACGCCGACGCCAGGCAATTCGACATGATTGTCATTGAGGACAACATCGTCCCCAGAGCCCCATGTCTGAAGACTCGATATAAATAAATAACTATATATATATACACACACACACATATTTATGTATATATATATATATAGAGTCTTGCATACTATGTATTATAACCTCAGAGTTTGGAATCCCGAAACCAAGATGGACCCCCAACTAAACCCTAAACCCTAAACCCTAAACCTTAAACCCTCAACCCTAAACCCTTAACCTTAAACTCTAAACCTTAAGCCCTAATCCCTAAAGCCTTAACCTTAAACTCTAAATCCTAAACCCTAAACCCTAAGCCCTAAACCACTAAACCCTAAGCCCTAAACCCAAAGCCCTAAACCCTAAACCCCAAGCCCTAAACCCTAAACCCTGAGGCTCGGCTCAGGGTTTTTGGGGGTTCTGCGGTCGTCGGGCTTCAGGATTTAGGACTTTAGGCTTTCGGGAGAGGGGGGGAGGGGATCCAGGGCTTTAAGGGCATTACAGACTTCTAGGTTTTGGGGGCTTAAGGGTTTAGGGTTGAGGGGTTTTGAGTTTAGGGTTTAGGGTCTAGGGTTTAGGGTTTTGGGGAGAAGGCTTAGCAATTCACTGACTTTTTTATCCACAGCTGAATCCACAGACCTCCAGGATCGCTGAAAGTGGCCCGAGCGCCTGCATCCAGAGCCCCGAACTGCCCCAAACTGCACCTCATCAATACTCATTCCACCCTAAACCCTAAACCCTAAACCCTGAAACTCAGGATCCTGAAAGCTGCAGGTTTATGGACACTCAGGAACCCAAGGGTTTAGGGTTTAGGGTTTAGGGTTTAGGGTTTAGGGCCAAACCGCACCCGAAGCCCTAAACCCGATGCTTACCCCAAACCCCTAAACCCAAGACGAGCCCGCCGCACCCACAAAAAAATCCCTAAAACCCGTAAAGCCCAAAGCCCTAAACCCTAAACCACTAAAACCCGTAAAGCCCTAAACCCTAAAAACCCTAAAACCCTAAAAACCCTAAAGCCCTAAACCCTAAAACCCCTGAAACCCAAAAACCCCTAAACCCTAAACCCTAAACCCTAAACCCCTAAAACCCCTAAAACCCCTAAAGCCCTAAACCCTAAACAGCATCCTTCCGAGGCAGACCATTGGGTCCGTCAGCGCGACCTCTCGCGAATCATCCGCGGCCAGGAGACCTTTCGAGCATGTTTTCCTACTGCCGGCTCTTCGGGTTTTGGGTTTTAGGGGTTTGGAGGTTTGGGGGTTTGGGTTTAGGGGTTTGGGTTTCGGGTTTGGGTTTTAGGGGTTTGGGGGTTTAGGGTTTAGGGTTTGACCCTAAACTTCTGAACTGTAGCATCGTTTCCTTGGATGGCCTATGCTAGTAAAACTGGTATGGTTAGGATCCCCTAAACCCTAAACCCTAAGCCCTAAAACCTAAACCCATTATCGTAAGACACTACACTTTCGGGTTCAGGGTACAGCGACTGAAGGAAGCCTCAATCAGTAGTTTCGATTTTGGGTTCCTTTTGCACGCCCCATCCTTAACTGGTAGCTAGTGGACATATACTCCCCCAATTAATCACTAACCTGCGGCCAGGTTTAGGGTTTAGGGTTTAGGGTTTAGGGATTTTCACATGACTACTATCCTAACTCTTGGCCAGCTTCGGATCTTACTTCCGGAAGGATGTCGGCCACCGCATAGTGGAGATGCTCAACGCCGACCGGACGCTGCGCATCGACATGGCTCGAGACCTCAGCAGATTCGAGGGAGATCTGCCCTAAAGCCTAAACCCTACACCCTACGCCCTAAACCCTACACCCTACACCCTAAACCCTAAACCCTGAGCCCTACACCCTAAACCCTAAACCGTAAACCCTACACCCTAAACCCTAAACACCAAACCCTAAACCCGAAACCTTAAGATACTGGCAGGGTTAAGGCCTGTGGAGTTTTACGGGTTGCAGGGCCGGGGTCTCTGAATCTGTGAGTACTATAGGGGCCTTAAGGATTACCTGTGCTATGTTGGGGGCTCCTTATGATAATCATGGGTTTAGGGTTTAGGGTTTGGGGTTTAGGGTTTGAGGTTTAGGGCAATAGTTACCTATAGTATTTGAAGGTTCCTTTTTACAATTATAGTACAATGAACCCCAAAACCTTATTCTAATTATTCAGGCCCCTACATTATTGGAGGTTCTTGGGTTGCCAGAGTTTGAGGCTCTCGTGTTTCGGGGCTCGGGGGTATAGGGTTTCGGGGCTTTGGGTTTAGGGTTTAGGGTTTCAAGGGCTATAAGTTTTGGCCTCTAGGGCTTAGTAGAGACTCCAGATTCCTTCGTGGTTTTTTTTTGATATTTTTGTTGAGTTCAGAACTCTGCCTAGCTTCTCGCAGCGCTAGCTGCGAAGGCGCTTCTTCCGAGAGAGCAGCGGGGAGAATTGGAATTCGTGTTTCGATCGGACGCCTGAGCATAGTCTGATACTATTGCATGGGATCTGAATAATGGGATTCCTTTTATGTAGCTTTATGGTGGCAAGAAGTTCAAAATTCAACATTCCACAGAACCGAATACGTAATGTCCATCCTAAACATGTAGAAACCGCGTGATAGCTATGTTTCTTGTGCAGTGTCCTTTTAGATGTAGGTTTGATAGGACAGAACGGTAGAAGGGTACACCTCGAAACGCTCAACGCAAAAGCCCTCAAGAATCAAGATATGGGTAGTTCTCCAAACTAGGGTCCCTTTTGGGGGTCCTTTCTACAAGGGTGCCGTACTATATTGGGGACCCAAAACGGGAGCCTAATCTAGAGAACTACCCATATTAGTTCATTTGGTAGAACGCCTGAGCTCCTAAACCCCAAACCCTCAATGTACGTAAGTGCAGGCCGTGCTGACGGCCTTCGGAGGGAAGGCCTGGTAATGTAGGGGCCTTAATAATGAGAATAGGGTTTTGGGGGTTCCTTATTACAATTATAGTATAATATCCCCAAAAGCCCTATTCTAATTATTAAGGCCCCTACCTTACACTTCAAAAACACAGTGCTAGACTTTCGTGACCCAAACCGAACACAGAGCCATGGAGAATGACTAGCACTATCCCTCGTAGACCATACAACTACTCGTACCTTCTATACCCCAAAGCTCCATGCTGATGATGCAGGCAGCTTCAGGAAACCCTAAACCCTAAACCGCACACCCTAAACCCTAAAACCTAAAACCTAAACCCTAAACCCTAAACCGCACAGGTCTTGGACCCGTTCCCCATTCTGGATTTCAACCCGCCGCAACAGGGGAGGCGCCTTAAACCGGGCTTGTCCGTTTGGAGTCTCTCAGGTTCGGGGTCAAAGGGGTTCATGCCGTTTCGTGTTTAGGGTCGAGGGTTTAGGGTCGAGGGTTTAGGGTCTGGGGTTTAGGGTTTAGGGTCTAGGGTTTAGGGTTCAGGGTGTAGGGGTTTAGGGTTTAGGGTGCAGGGTGTCGGGGTCTAGCGTTTAGGGTTTTTTCAGTGGTTCATCTTGGGATCTACTGCCACAAATAGGTATTCCTTGTGGACCGCATTTAGACAGCTCTTTCATCCAGGATGCTCCCAACAGCCTGCCCGGACTGCACCTTAGTTATTCCCAGTGAACCCAATACACCTTAATTAAGGAATATGCCTTAAAATAGAGGGGCCTTAATATTATGATTTAAGGTATATTCCTTAATTAAGGGGTACTGGGTTCTCTGGGCATTCCCAGAAAGGAGATTCTGGGAGGGAACGGCCGAAGATGTCGTGCATCATCTGGGGTCTGAACAATAACAGCAATGTTATTCCTTGATCGTCCATAGTATATAACCGAGTAGTAATATACCCAACACCCTATTTTAAGTATGAAGGCCCTCTCTCTGTATGTATATATATATATATACACATCTGTATACCACGTATTTATCTTTATTCGTTGTTTACTGCCAAGAGCAATAGAAATCAATTGCTTGAGAGAGAGAGAGAGAGAGTTGTGTTTGGAGGCGGTACTTCGACACCTTCCTAATAACTAAACACGCACATGATAAGAATACACAGCCCTACAGCCTTTTCCTGGCTACCTGAGCAATCTGATTGTATTATGATTGTAGGCCTTCCCTTATACCCAAATAGTACGTACTTAAGTACCTATATAGGGACTACTTGTATGGAGAGTTCGGAGAGCCGTGTAGTCGGATTGAACAGGGGTGGCAGATTCATGCTCTGGGCCGTGTTGTAAGCGTTTCGCAAACAGTGAAGTCCATACCCTGAACTTTGGTGCGGGGGTTTAGAGCTTAGGCCCTACAGTTTAGGCTTTATGGGTTTAGGATTTAGGGTTATGCCTCAAGCGGCTCAAGTGTTTGTCCTGGTCAGGTGGTTTCGGAACAACAAGATCAAGGCCAGTTTTGGAACGGGAGTTTCAAAGCATTCGCCACCCTTCTTTCAACCCCGAGCAACGGGGTTCTTGACATCAGAGCCCCCCCTAAACCCTAGACCCTAAACCCTAAACCCTAAACCCTAAACCCTAAACCCTAAACCCTAAACCCTAAAGTGTTTAGGTTGGGGGTCTGGATTTGGGGAGTAGGGCCCGGGTCTTCGAGTGTAGGAAGCAGGATGCAACAGTGTAAGGTTAGTGCGACTAGGGCTCCGGGCAAGCGGTTCAGGGTGCAACGCCACAAATCCGAGCACCACGGTTTAGGGTTTAGGGTTTAGGGTTTAGGGTTTAGGGTTTAGGGTTTCGGGTTTAGAACTTAAACCCGAAACCCCTAAATGCCACCCGAAGGCAAAACACTAGACGCTCTGAAGATCATTCAATCCTTGAGGGGAACACACAAGAGCAGTCACAAGGGCTCTAAACATGAACGCTTAGATCTTAAACGCGGGAATACTAAAAATATCTGTGCCTTGACATTCTACCCCCTAAACTTTGATGCCCACATCCAATCCCCAAACCCAGAATTCTGACATCTATTCCCTGAGCCCTACACCCTAAACCCTAAACCCTAAACCCTAAACCCCTAAACCCTAAACCCACACCCTACCCGAGCTGCAAGGTGCCGGACATCCGCGGCTCCGAGGACCGATTATTCAAAATCGCTCTGCTGGGCTCGTGCCGGAGACCCCCATTTCCCTGGATAAGCCTAAACCCTAAACCCTAAACCCCAAGTTGGGTTGTACATCTCTTCTCTATTTATCTTTCTATCGATCGCTGGACCATAAGTCTCGGACATTTTCGTTTGCCAGAAGGTGGTGTGATCAGGGGTTTGTAAGAGTTTTCTGGGTTTATATTGTCTAGAGCTCTTTAGCAGCGAATTAGAACCCTAAACCCTGAACCCTAAACCCTGAACCCTAAACCCTAAACCCTAAGCTATACCCTAAATCCTAAACCCTTCTTCAAGGCTCCTTCCATGCCTTCCAGGAATCTTCCCTGATACAGGATGCGCGGAGTTTAGGATTCAAGGCAGGGGCCTTAATAATTAGAACAGGGTGTTGGGCTGCTTTATGGTAGAAGCATTACAAGGAGCCCTGAGGAATGATATTAGTAATTATGTAGGCCCCTATATCAGGCTGTAGAAAGAAACTGATCTACTTGACAGCACGCCTGTCCAGACTGCAATGCAGCGCAGATGGCTGGAAGTTGCCACAACCTGGGGCCCTGCCGCGCAGCTGCCCTGTCAGTTGCTGCGAACCTCGACTCAGGCCCAACCAATCTCAGGCCGGCCCATTCGTTGAATATGAATATTTCTTCGTTGAATATGACTTTCTTCTCCGGCAGAAAATCCTTTTCGACGAAGGCCGGCCCATTCGTTGAGTATGTTGTTTAAGATCTAAGCTCTGGTTGATAATGTATTAAAGCCAAAAGGTGTTCTTTTGAGCTGTTTGTGTAGAACTAAGCTATGGTAGTAAGACGTTCTATTTCTAATGTTGAGGGTTCCTAGGTGGGTGGGTTGCTTTCCATCGTGAAAGCTCGACTAGAGATTGCTCCATCCGGAGCTGCTGAACCCTAAA